TTGATCGCTTAGGAACGAAACTAGCATTTAGTACTGCCAATCACCCTCAGACAGATGGCCTAACTGAACGAGTAAACAGAATAGTAGAGGATGTGCTGAGGGCTTTTGTAAATCATAAACAAGATAACTGGGATATGCTCCTACCTCTCTGTGAGTTTTCTATCAACAGCGCTACTCAATCATCTACAGGAAACACACCGTTCTTCTTAAATTACGGTCTAAATCCCAGAGCGCCACCCGACTTCCTCAACCCTATTCAGGGAGGCAGAGATTCAGCTGATTGGTTGCAAGCAAGACAAGACGCGGTCAAGATCTCACAAGATGCGCTAGTGGCAGCTCAAGCTCGTCAGGCCTTCTATGCAGATCGGACAAGGGTCGAGGGAAAGCTGAAGGTGGGAGATTTGGTAATGGTCTACCGGGATTTCCTCCTGACTCCTGAAGCTCGGGACCGACCATCCCATAAATTACGCCCCAAGTGGTTTGGCCCCTTTCCTATAACCCATGTGGTCGGCCCGAATGCCTACAAGCTCAAGTTGCCTCATACCAGCCGCTGTCACCCGGTATTTAATGTGTCAGCACTCCGTGCCTACGAGAAGAACGCTATTCCTAATAGGAGACAGCCTACGCCTCCGCCTATCACGGACCTTGATGGTCATGCCCGCTATGTGGTGGAGAACATTCTCAGTCACCGCCGCCGGCAGAATCAGCTTCAGTACCTAGTTAAGTGGCAAGGCTACTCTGATGCCACTTGGGAGCCTGAACATTATTTGTTGGATGAATCTGGTAATGACATTGTTCCACTTCAGAAGTACAAAACCTTGGCTTCTGCCCGCTGAGTTTTGCAGTTGAACTTCTAGTTTCACCTTACACATTTGTTGAGCTTATTACACTTTATTTGCATGGAGTTTCAGTCGTCTTATTGTGTTACTTCAGTGCGAAGCCTTTTTTCGTCTCGCACGTGTTTGCGCTTATTGTACTCTATTCCACTTGAGCATTTGGGTTATAAGCTCCTTCCTCTCCATAGGAGGGGGATGATGTAACAGTTTTCCCCTGTTCTCTATAACTTTACACTCCCTCGCACCTCATGCGTCTTACGCCTGTCTATTAGCACCTTCATTGGCGCCATTGCCACATGTATACTATCACATTTTGCATATAACTGGTCGAGGCACGCTCAACCAGGCCTCTTACTTTTCAAGTTTGATTAAACCTGTTACAGCTTTGGTAATGAATATATTCCTTGAGTGGGCGTTCTCTTTTTTTCTTTCTTTACACGTATTGCCTTCGTTTTCAGCACCGCACATAATTATAACCAATATAATTACACACACTTGAGAGGGACGAAAAGAGTTTCTTCTGTAACTCTGAGTTTCACCATTTTAACCAATCATCAGACAGCAACTTGACTACAATTTTCAGAAGATAAGATTGATATAGGCTGCAAGCTTGGATCATAGCGCGAATGGATGATCGGGGCTGATAGAGTTAACCAATATAATTATATGTTGTATGGTACTGCATCTAGAAGACATACGAAATTGCTTGCCTTCAACTTGTAAACGCGTATAGTCATTCTTTATTCAGTTGCTAACAATCTATTCCAAACACAGGTAGTGTTAGGTACCATCTCCGGTGCATTGACTCTGTTTATTCATTTTTTGCTATGTTCACATTCCTAGCTCGAAAATAGTAAAGAAAGACAATGGTACCGAGACTAGAACGAACGTGACAACAGATTAGCAGGGGCTGCACGCTGTAAAAGGAAATGAAAAAAATTAGAGTATAAAAAAACGTTCCACATCTGACTCGGTAAGAAAGCGAGTTTTCCGCATCCGTAGGAACGCCACCACCCTTCAAGGATAAAGGCGTAGTCTTGACACTTGCAAACCATCACATAATCGCTTCAAAATCAGATGTTTCAAGGGTATAGATAATAGTCGCAGAACAGTGTGTCTACAAAGAATCCACGTGAAGGTTGCATAGCCTAACCTAGGGTCAGGGCCTAGTTCACCGTGGACAGCAGCGACAGGACGATATGCAAGTGTCCATCAGGTCGGGACAGCGTGAGAACATGACAGGAGATGCAATCACTGTACCAGGCAAAAGTCTTGACTGCATTTCTCCAGAATATACCTGCACGTGTCATAAAGTTGACAACATTGCATGTCTAGAGCATTTGGTCATAGACTTTTAATCACAGACTCAGATGGTAGTAGTAGTAGTAGTAGTAGTAGTAGTAGTAGTAGTAGTAGTAGTAGTAGTAGTAGTAGTAGTAGTAGTAGTAGTAGTAGTAGTAGTAGTAGTAGTAGTAGTAGTAGTAGTAGTAGTAGTAGTAGTAGTAGTAGTACCTGACAGACATTTGCCCAACATTGCCCCATGATAATGAATTCTTGAGTTTTTGGACATTGTATTGCATTGCTGCTCCATCTACATGGCTGTATTTGTGTTTCACATCTCCATTTCAAGTTTCCTAATAAAGATTGTGTCAAGTAGTAGTAGTAGTAGTAGTAGTGGTAGTAGTAGTAGTAGTATTTATTAATTGACTAGGGGAGTCCCAACAGGCATGGCCTTGTTATAGGGAACCCTAGGTGAATCTTTGTGAGGTGAGCAAAAGTACCAGCAGATTGTGCCTGACGACAGTTTGGAGGAAGAGTGTTCCACCGACCTGCCGCCAGAAAAGAAACTGAGCGCAGTCCATACCCAATATGTACAGTAGGTAATACTAAGGCAGCTGTATCCTGGCCACGAGTACGAGCATTTGTGTGCGGGCCAACTGATCGCAGGAGAAACAGTGACTGAAGGAGGGGGCTAGTAATTGATGACAAGCAGCGATAGACCAAAACGTATAGTTTCAAATTAACTCGTTGCTCAAACGAATACAGATGACACCGTTGTAAAACTAATGCAGTTGGGGTCATTCTATCTAAACCAAATGCCTTCTACATCGCAATATAGACCAACACGCAATGCCTTATCACTGCCCCGAGCTAGTTCCTCTCTGTTTTTGAAATCCCCTTTCTTCTCAGCATACTCCCTTTGGTCTAACCTGCTTACTAGCATTAAGACATGCCAGGATATCAGGAAATTCACAGTCCAGCTTTCCACACTGTCTCATCCGAAGTGATCCCATGTATTATTAATGTGCCTCCCTTTCTTTTTCTCTCCCTATCTCCTTTCCCTCTCTGACCGCATCTTTCTTCTTTTTTTCTTTTTTTTTCCCTTTTAGCTTGCCGTGGTTGGCTATCACCTGACCTCTCATGTTTATTGGCAGTCTTCGGACGGGCCAGGAGATGTTGAATAAATAAATAAATAAATAAATAAATAAATAAATATGGCTGACCGTTACAAGCCTGTTATATAGGGTAGTTTTCAAACAGTGCACATACGCATTACTTGCATATTATAGAGTAGACTGTATAATTGACAAGAAGAAAGTTCTCCGAGCTGTAGCTGATAAATTGCGACGGCCATGAGCAAAACAGGCTAGTTTAGCGAAGACCACTGAAGACACCTTTTCTACTTGTGGGCGGAACGTTAGATGCTCATCGATTAGCATACCGAGGTATTTCACAGTAGAGACAGGGGAAATGACAATACCTTTACAGGTCAGGTACAGGGCTGGGCTCAGTGCAGGCAGGGCAGGACGCCGTATCAACATGAACTGTTTTAGTGGGGTTGAGCAGAAGGCCTTTCTCATCAAGGTATTGCTCTAGCAACCGCATACTATCCTGCAAGCGTAGCATAATTGTAGCCACATCAGAGCCGAATACGTAGAACGCAATATCATCAGCGTACAGCTGCACGACACTCTGGTGAAATATATCGGGTACCCGGCGAATGTAGACGCAGAAAAGCAAAGGCCCAAGAACAGACCCCTGGGAACCCCTCTTGTACAGGGTTTGGTGTCACCCTTCTCACCATTGACAGTAACCTGCTGCATGGTACATCGTGTCGCTCATTTCTATGTGTCCCCTGGTTGCAGCTTAGGACTAGAATATTTCGTACTTGACGTGCCTCTACGCGTCGTCCCCCAGTATGCTACAACCATCACATTTGCAATCCATTCCTTGAAAGGGCAAGACGTTATGCAAGCCTCCATTAGGTCTGGAAAGCGTGAGAACAAAAAGGAGAACGCTACTACCAGAGAAAAGACTAACTTAGTGTTGTCGACAGTCATTTCTCCCGAATTCACCTGCATGTGTCATCAAGTTGACAACATTGCGTGTCTAGTGCGTGGAGCTAGACAGTGAAGTCAATATTGACTTGTGCATTTGGCCATATACTTGATATCACATACTCAGACTGTCCATTGATTCGATCTGCTCGATGTGTCCGCTGGTTGCAACTTAGGACTAGAACATGTCGTACTCGAAGTAGCTGTACAAGCAGTGCTCTGTTTGCTAGCAACATCACATGAGCACTGAACGTTTAAGTTAACCGGTATGCTTGGCTTGACGGGGAGAGTCATAATCTTTTTTCACAACGCTTTTACACGCATACTTGCCTTGAATGTTGTTGCGGTCCTTCCAAAGTCCATTGGAAAATTCACAGCATTCACTACACGTTTGGTCAATCTGCGGCCTGTAGAATGGTTAATGTAGCTGATCACAACCATCAGGTATATCAGGGATCTCAGGCATCAGGCCTGCTTGAGAACATGACAAAGGACGCAACTACTAGGGAAAAATACTGGCTACATTTCTGGGGAATTCACCTGCACCTGTCACGAAGTTGACAACATTGTCTAGCGCGTGGAGAATGGAGCAATGAAGTCACCATCGACTTGCGCATTCGGTCATAGACTTGACAGCACAGCATTTTATCAGCATTTTATTGGCCGAATAGTACCGTTCACCATTTGAAAGCATTTTATCAGTTGTCGAAAATGCTACCACCCACTGGCAGTGTGCCGATCTACCTTACTAGCTGTACTAGCTTGGCAGTTCCTAACCCAGGGAGCCTGCAGATCGCTGATTTCATTTCAGCGAATCCAACACGATTCTGCCATTTGCAGCTGGGTCACAACTTCCTTCTCCTACGGAGATCCGTTCTATAAAGTTCACTGTGCTTGCCAAAACCAACTCACAGCCACGATTGTTTGGTTTGAATGAGTTACCTGTGCTAAGGCTCAGACGGACATCTCCTGTGAAGCTTGATTAGAATGGCAGACGCCGATACAGGTGAACCTTCATGTCCTTCATGCTTCAAATACCAGACTAACATCGGTGGCAAGCAAGGTCCCGCTGTTTTGAAATTGGAAGACGGGGAGAGGACGCTCTACGTGATAAGTAAGCCCAGAGAATGTCATAGTACCAAATTTCGTAACTATGACTTCTAATGTTATGTCATGAACTAAGAAGCTGGTACCCCGCTAGGCTAGGGGCACGGCGGTGTTCTATTTTGATGTCAAATTCTCGGTAGGTTTTGATCTCTAACGCATGTTCTATGATTTTACGGTACATATATAGACAGCAGGAAATTATGTGCTTCCATAGCCTTTACTATGTTCTTCCATAGCCACTTCTAGGCTAAGCCTTCGCCATCATTGTATTGGGTCGGCATCCCATTTGAATGTGCGAAGTAAAATAGAAATCAATCAAACAACCAAACAATCATCGTTTGGATTTATAAGCAAGAGAATACGCTGTTGGGGCGGAGTAAGGTGTAAAAGGCTGCTGCACTATAGTAGGCGATAATTGTGACTGTCCGTGTATGTGTGTGCGCACTATGTGTTTAGAAAAAGACGATGGAAAGCTCTACGCTCAGACAAGTAAGTGGAAATGCAGCAAGTGGATAAGTAGTCTAATTCATGGCAACCTGCACTTTCGAACTTGGATGGGGCTCATCAGTGGAGTTTATGAATGCAGTGGTCACTTCGCACACCAACAGGTAGAGATTCCACAAATTAACAGTCAGTAGAACAGAAGGGAGAAGCTCCAAACACACCCGGATGACAATACATTATATGAAAGTTGGAAGAGGAAAAAAATTGTTATGTCAATTACAATGATAACATGGAATGACAGTGGGGACCACGGCACTACAATGTCAAAACACTGCGATGCACAATAGCTACCACAGGAATGGACCAACGGACAATGACGATAATGAGAAGGACTCAGTGATACTCCGTCACCTGACATCGTCACCAGCCTGCCTAAGTGCAGTCTGCAAACATGGCACCCAGTCTCACTTCACCATTCAAGCGCGTGCACGCAACAAATCTCACCTTGCTGTGCTGGAGGCAGTGTACATTGCCAAGCTGAAGCCTAAACTGTGCGTGCAAAAGAAGTATGTGCGAAAGTGTCACTGTTTTGACATTTTAGTACCGTGGTCCCCACTTTTGTCTGAGGATGGCAATATTCATTGTCTCACTGTGTAGTTGGCACCACCAGTGCTTTTATAGTGCTATCTGGTCTATGCTCTGACCGCCAAATATACTGTTGGCGCCACTAGCGCTATTTTTCAAGTGCTATTTTTGTCAATGCCCTGCCCGCCAAAAGTGCCGGTTATAAGGGCTTGCTTACTGCCTTGTTAATCACAATTGTATTTGACCTGAAGAGCAATGGAATGAAAGGCCTAGTCGAAAAAAACTATAATGGCTTCTGTGCTCCGTGTGCTGACTATCTACCTATCTATCCGCTAGCCATTTTCTCTCTCTCCCTGTCTCTTTGTCTGTCCCTCTTTCTCTCTCTTTCGCTGTCTCTCTCCTTCTGGTCATCTTTGAGCAGATATAAGCTCTGTTCTTTGTCTGCGTCATTTTCACTGGAATGCACACCCCATAGCGACAAATTGAATGTTCACCAAGTGTAAGGTACTAACAGTGGTCATCCTGCACATTGAATAATTCCTGTTCCATCCGTTTCCTGCATTTTCATTCCTCCAGCGAAGCCAGAGAATAATGATGGACATTTCTTTGTGTCGACTTTGGCTATAAATATATCGTGTTGCAACTCATCAGAAACACGTCTCGTCATCCAAGGCGCCGTGGATGAATATGAAGATCCGGATAGTTACGTCTCTCAACCGGATGATAGCTTCATGTTGGCCCGTGCAGAGTCTGTTAATGGCAGTGACAACGACTGGTCATTGGATGTTAACATGATATTCAATGCCGGCGTCACGACAATGGGTGCACTTCGCAAGCCAGGATGGTATTTCGTCACATCTGGCACTGAATCTGGCACTGGCAAACTGCAATGCACAGTCTATCCAGACCCTATCGTCTGTGCCCATACCGTTTCCGGGGACGGTCCCTTTCCACTCATCATCCGTTCGAAGACTGAAGGAACAGGGGAAGGATACGCCTATAAATTTACGTGGAACTAGTCTTCCTTTATCTGATAAGTGTTCTTTATCCATTCCATTTCTGGCTTGCATGCCTAGGAGATGTGAACAAGTATTATTATTACGAAGCTATCATTGGCACATCACTTTGAAGCTCCATTATAGCCTTGTCATCCTTTCACATCACGCCCTACTCGTCACTCACGAAGTCCCCTGCTACTCCACGCACAACGATTGTGTCCAAATTTTCACCAAGGAGGCCATCATCAGGGAGACCGCTATAGAGGTAAAATTTGGAGACAATCGTTGTACGTGGTGCAGTCGATGATTTTTATTGTGTGTTTCGAGCGTCCGGAGTAGTGGAATTAAGTTGTTTTCTTTCATTCTTGAAAAATTACTTTGTATATAAAGAAATAGAAAATTAACTGCATACAGGATTTGTTTACCAGCATACCGGATTTGTTTGATGCTGCGCATGCGCTGTGTTATGCCTCCAAGGTCTATTGCGTAGAGCTGAACGAGAACTTAGTTATAAGTTGTGGGTATCTCTTTACAAAAGATCCTTTTTTCAATGTGTATTGAATGAATTTCATAATGAGGGTGCTTAGTATGATAGCCTGCTTACCATTACTATTGATTGTACTTAAAGTATTTTGTATCCGCTCTGTGGCTTATAAGTTGGATTCAGTAGAGCGTCCAGCCCCTATATGATGTCCAACCCCTATATAGAGTCCATTGGTCCAAAATCCACTGTACAGAGTCCAAACTTTGAAATCAACTATACAGAGTCTTTATGTGGACAACACTCCCTGTATAAAGTCCAGCCAATTAGGCATCCCCTATCCAGATTTCAAAATTAGACATAGGATCTGCTGTGAGCAGTGAATATTAACCATAAAACTGCCTCTCCATTCAATCCTTTAATATATCACTCACTTCTCAAGATAAAAATATGACTTCTACTTAGTATTGAGGCTCCACTGCAGCCACTTCATTACATGAAAACCCCTACAAACACCATCCTCAAATCAAGACAGTGGTCTCTTCGCAGACGCTGCAAATTACAGTATCATGTAGTGTTCTCAAATCATTGTGCACACATACACACATACACACACACATACACATACACACATACATACACACACATACACACACACACACACACACACACACACACATACACACACACATACACACTACTACTACTACTACTATGTACAGCTACCCTATCGGGCCACACCGCTCCCAGAAGCGGGAGACAACGACAAGAAGAGAGAAGAGAAGAGAGAGAAATCGCAAAGTCAACAATATTTGGCATGGCGTTGCAAGTCCTGTGGCCTTGAGAACCGTCTTTCGCAATGCTCGCATTCATGACGGCAGTTGTTCCTGGCTGCACGTGACATCCGTTTCGCACGGTCACAGTGATGACGGCTCAAACCAGAACGAGAGCGGAAAGAGCGGCGACAAACATCACATCGCAAAGAGTAGACAGAGAAGGCACATACACACATAAACATACACACATACATACACACACATACACACACACACACACATACACATACACACACACACACACACATACACACACACATACACATACACATACACACACATACACACACATACACACACATACACACACACACATACACACACATACACACACACATACACACACACACACATGCACGCACACACACATGCACGCACCCACACAACGCCAAGAAAATACCAAGAAAATACCAAGAATCGAAAGAGAATAGGCTATGATGGAGAGCCAAGGATTGAGATTATTGTGTGTGCGCGCGCACACGCACACACACACACACACGCACACATACACACACAAACAACTTATACAATGCCAAGAAAATACCAAGAAAAGAGGAGAGACACAATACACATTCAACTCCAACGGCCATGCAAACGTCCACCCATTTACACGTAAAGTAAAGAGGGATAACAAATAATTATACGAAACGAATGCACACACGTTCACATACTTATGCTAGTGTAAGAGAGTAACATAGTGCAGTAGTCAGCATAATACTAGCACGTGCTGAGAGTGCAATAGCAAGCTTCACCATTGCTCAATGCTCATGGCCATGCAAATGTTCAGCAGCAGTCAGTTCCGCAAGCTCCTGAAGATCAGCACACCCGCAACAAATGGATCGCACAAGGATACGCTTATTACCGTAATGATGCATGGAAGCACACAGCTATCAAGTTCTCAACGGATGTGATGCTCAATGAAAATCCATCCACTGAAAGACCTGTGAACAGGTGACGGTGGGGACAATAATCTATTCGTAATACGAGGAATAAGATCGTGTGTGCACACTCAAGACGCACAGACACACCAACATACATGTAGTGTACTCCACAGTGTTTCACTTCACTGCAGCTTACTTGAAATGAGAGGATTTAAACAATCTGTACAGCGTTACCGTCAGTGAAAAAGTCTTCCCCAGATGGAAATGCAATGAGTTGTTGTCACGACTCACGAGGCAATTTCACTGACACAATGTCATGTTTGTGACATCAAAACGGTTACTTCATGGAATACGAGTATTTTCTTGACATCAGCATACAAGCAATCATCCTACTACTACACTGTCACTGCGTTCGTCGATCTCGTTGTATTCGACATCATACTAGAGGAAGAGTGTCGTGGAGTTCACATCATTATCACAGGACAAACATACATTTCTCATGAAATAAAATTGATCCTAGCTAGACGATTGATGCAAAGTCCTCGCAGTCCTTGATGACTGGTAGTATTGTCACGCAACTATTTACGAAGTCGTTGATTACTTTTAGGGCATTCATTCAAGCAACATCAAACAAACGCGATAAGCTCCTTGAAAATGGAAAAAAAATAAAGCAAAACGACAGAACAGCAGACCAATCGAAACGAGTAAAAGCTTCCTTACCTCAGTCATTGTCCTGCCATGTCGTTGGACAGCCTTTTGACATGGTGGTACAGGCAGCTCTTGTCCAGTCAAACAGGGTATCCTTGTGGCGTCGAACGAAAGAGAGTGTCAGTGTATCTGACTCGTCAGATTGGAACTGTGCTGAACTCTTCTCGTTCTCCGCTTTCTGCTTTCATCCCGCGCACTGATGAAACCATTCAAACGTCTTATTGTCAGCAACTGCACAGTTGAACTGGCAGCCACGGCCAGCCAAACAGGGGATCCTTGTGGCGTCGAACGAAAGAGAGTGTCAGTGTACCTGACTCGTCAGATTTGAACTGTGCTGAATTTTCTCGTTCTCCAATTTCTGCTTTCATCCCGCGCGCACTGATGAAACGTCTTCAGAGAACCACAACACGCTTTCCAGATTTGATTTTGAACGTCTCCTTTTCCTCCTTGGTTACCTCGAGACATATTACTGTCAGCAACTGCACAGCAGAACTGGCAGCCATGGCTGCAGTGAGAGAAAGGAATGCGCCGCCATGCACGAGGCAAGCAAAACTGAAAACGTGTTTTTCTTTTTTTTTACTACACAGGATGGTGTGAATGGATAAACTGGACTCCTGGACCGTGAAAAAGTGTACTCCTTATAGGGGATTGCGCGGCAGGATGGAGCTGATCAAAATTGAGTGGACTCCTGGACTCTATATCGTGGATTTTGGACCAATGGACTCTATATAGGGCGCTGGACATTATTATAGTGCATGGAGTTTATACTGAGTCCAACATAATAATATGTATATAATACAACCCAACAGTACGCTTGTACGTGTTAATATGTACCGACATACAAACCGAGGCGAAGCCGAGGTTTGTATGATGGTTTATATTTCACGTACATGCGTACTAGTGGGATGTATTATACTTATGCTGACCTTCATACAAACAGACAGTCTACTTCTTCCTTTTTCTATGGTGGCGGTCTATATGAGGTTTGTATGGGGTTTGTATGGGGTTTGTATGAGGTATGAGGTTTATATGCCCAGTATAAGCCACCAGCATGATGGGCAAGTTGACTGGAAGTTTGTATGAAAGGTCTGCATAATATTATCATCATCATCATCATCATCATCATCTGCGTTGCCGAAAAAATAATAAAAGTAAAATTTAAAAATAATAATAAACGGCTTTATGCAGCTGTGTAAGCAGTAGATGCACAGTGTGACTGCCAGGCATCTCTGTCAGATGCCAACTGGCAATTCTCATGCAGAGACATACCAGTCCACGAAACGATGTTGTCAGCAAAGGAAATCTTCGGACGACCACGCTTTCTCTTACCATCCACGACACCAAACATCACGTCACGTACAAGCTCGCAGCCAGATGGGCGGCATGTGTGCCCGAAATAGGTCAGTTTGCGTATCCTGACCCTGGCTAGCAGCTGTCTCTGTACTCCCAACTCCACCAGGATACTGTCATTTGTTCGCTTCTCCATCCAGGATACTCTGAGCAGACGTCGGTAGCACCACATTTCTGCTGCCTGTATTCGTCGTTCATCTGTCTTCCGCAGAGTCCAACTCTCAGCTCCATACAGCAGGACAGACCACACTAAGGCATGCATTATCCGGATTTTCAGCTGTCTGGAGATGTTGTGGTCTTTCCAGATGTCAATTAACTGCAGCATACGCTCTTTCGCCATGGCAATTCTTGACCGAATATCGAGGCTGCAATCACCGTTTGTTGTCTTCCAGGATCCCAGATACTTGAAACTGCTCACCTCTGCAATTCGTTCTCCGTCGACCACAAGGGGCGTTGGAGCAGTATCGTTTGCACCAGCAGTACAGGTTCCGATATGCATGATCTTGGTTTTGGACAGATTCAGTGACAGGCCCTTCTCTCTTCCAGCGTCATTAACAGCATTGGTGAGGGTAGACACTTCTGATGGATGTGCACACAATCCCGTGTCATCTGCATATCGTAGGTTCGACAGCCGGCGTCCTCCGATTCTCACACGGATACTGTCCACATCAGCAACACGCATAACACTCTCAGTGTACAGGCTAAATAGATGTGGGGACAAAATACAGCCCTGCCGAACACCCTTCTTGATGGCGAACTCCGGCGAATGCGAGCCATTCCATCTGATAAATCCGCTCATCCCTGTGTAAAGGTTCTGAAGCAAACAAACTATGTGGCGAGGGAAACCAAAATCCAAAAGGCAACCGAAAAGATGTGAGTGGTTAACTGTGTCAAAGGCTTTACGATAATCGGTAAAAACAATGGATACAGGATTATTCCATTCAAGAGATTTTTCGATAATGATTTGCAGAACACAGAGCATATCTACAGAACTGCGACCAGCTCGAAAACCAGCCTGCTCATCTGGTAACTCAGCCTCTATCTTCTTTTTCATACGATTCAAGATTATTGTCAGAAGGATCTTCCTTGCATGTGACATCAAAGCAATTTTCCGATAGTTGGAACACTCCTTAGCTGATCCAGCTTTGGGTAGCATGACGATTTCTTGACGTTTCCATGCTTTTGGCCATCTCCCTGTTTTCCAAATCTCCAAACAAAGTTTATGTAGGAATAGAACACAAACTGAGGATGCATGCTGAATCAGTTCCGCCACGATCCCATCAAGTCCAGGGGCTTTCCTCTTCTTCAGGGACAATATGGCTTGCTCAACCTCAGCCAAGAGAGGCACAGGTTCAGAGGTAATTAGTGGCGATGGAAGCTC